TTTCCAGTCTATTGACATGATATTGTTAGGGGAAAAATGTGCGATTTCGAGGAAGTGAGCAAAATTTTGAGTCGAATGACGGAGAAAGAGCGCAAACATGCGGAACGTTTCCTTGTCGATTTCACGGGTACTACTTGATATCCAGATAAAACTTAAAGTAAAATTAGGTTGCTTTTAGTCGACTATCATGAGAGGTCTTTCCACCTTGCGATCTTCGGACACGAGCCCATCTTTAAGGACACGGTGGTGTTAGGTCGCTACATAAATCACAGTGCTGTCCACCCAAACCTTGACGGTGAAGTAGTCAGTCGCGGAAACGGACGCATGAAGACAATGTTAATATTCCGTGCAACATGTGACATCAAGGTAGATCGTAGTCTTGATGTAACCCTTGAACAACGAAATTTATTCTACAGATTGGAGAGCAACTACTATGGAATTATACGAGTAATTTTGGGAAAGAACGCCTGAAACCATGCCTCTGTCAGTTGTGTGAGCCTGCTGCACAGAACGGTAAAGATTTGCAAATCTCTAAGTGGGAAACCTTGAGTTTATTACAGAATTACTTTAGGTACGACATCTACACTTCGCTCACTGCCATAAAATCCATTCCAAAACGTTTCTTTACCATACTTTCCTATTTTGACACTATGATCACTAGTATGAAATTTGAGTTGTAAGCTTTGATTTACGATGTTGTTGAATTTGTTTAACTAAACTACGATATACATCTCTAAGATAGAACTTTCTAGAGCCAACTAGGTCCAGTAAGTCAAATACAGTATCTTGTATTGCAAAAAATTGCATCGCGAAGCAGTATTCTGCATTTTACTTCTACGATAAAAATGCAAGATTGCAAATTGAGAGTTCTGCTTCAAAAACAGCTCGCCATTCTCACCCTATAGCCATCAAGGAACCATTAGTCAACGATCACGTTAACTCTAAATAAGATGAGTATTGGCTGAGCAACACAGACATGTTAAACTTTAACATATAATAAAAGTACCTAAAAGATACCACACACATCTTAAACGGATGAACACTATCCGATACCACAGTTTGTTGAAATCACTTCCCGAATTTTTTCACTTTCAGGTAAAAAGCAAACATATTGCACAATTGTGCAAAATGTCGCACTTTACCTGCTCAGCTCTG